ATCTCCTGATCTGTAGCTGTCTGGGGAATCCCTTTTCTAGAGGAAAGAGAAGTTGAGGAGGAAGAAGGTTGGTGGGCTGAGTCCTGAACCTGACCTAGAGCTGTGCCAACAAATCCATGTGCTGTGTGTGAGTGCCCTGGGCCTGGGGAACAGGACCCTTGTAGGTAAGCAGGATTGCTTCAAAGATATGTGGTGACAATACCAATTTTCCTTTGCAGCGCAGAATACACGGAGCCCCTGGATTTTGTCCAGCCACTCAGACTGAGGCACTCAGTCGCCTGTCTCTGGCTCCCTGGCACCGGCCACGAGGCAGTGCTGACAGGCTCTTTTCAAAAAGTCTCATGGTTTGGGTCTGTTCAGAAAAAAGTGCCTCTTGCCACTCACCAGATATGCTGGAGGGCTCAAAACATAGACATGGAAAAGCAGTGGCCATAGCTACTGTCCTGGCTCCTCCCAGATGTTGGCTTTTCCATTCTTTGGGTTAAGATTACTGCTACTTCCTCTACCAGAATGAGGTCAGTGCCATTTATATTTGTCTTCTATTTTTTATCTATATTTTTGGAAAGCTTGTCCTCTTGGAAAGTTTATCCCCTCTGATTTTTGCTTCTCCTTGACTAGCCCCACTTGCCTGGTAACTCCCAGTATTTCCCATCATGACTCAGAGTGGCTGGGGGGGCTACACCGGGGGAGGCCTAAGATCTCAGCAGAGCTGTGCAGCACAGGTTCACCAGGGGTGTCTGATCCAACCGAAATGTGCATCAGCCTGGGACACAAGAGGAATTGCTGGGATGGAAGCTGAATCTTTCATCTGCTCTTTGTATTTTCTGCCTTTTCTCTGAGTTTGTTTTCTTCTCTTTTCTTCCTTTGCAATTGTCAGGGAAGCATCTGTGAGTTTCATGAAACAAATGTTGCCCATTAAAACCCCATCGCTGCCTGCCAGAAAGGAAAATGGCATCTTATTTGAAAACAATATGTAATTGTTATTGCTGTCTTGTTGCAAGTTATGCCCTTGAAAAATGTTAGGGACTTATTTAGTAGCAACTGATGCTGAGGAAAAGCCTTACTAAAGCAGAAAATTAACTGTTGCAATATCTTTTACACAGCTTCAAACACCACAATACAAATGCCTGGTCTGTTGTGCTCGTGGATGTGTTTATGATCACTTGGAGGATAAAATACAACACTTTTCCAGGATGGAGACTCCAGTCCCAACCAAGAGAGCACAACCACACCGGTGTAACACTCCTCCTGCAAACACACCACCACCCAGGTACCGCCTGGGGGTCCAGTGCAGAGAAACTCTGCCTGTAAGGACAGTTTTTAACTTAAGCTGGCACCCTCAACACCTGCACTGCCAGGCCAAGCTGCTGAGTCACTTACAGATTGTTAATCTTCTTTTTTAATGTTTCCATCTCAATCTATTTTGTATTGCCTTTTATTTTACCTTCTTTTTTTTTTTTAGTTTTTTTGTATTACAATTAGGATTTGTTAATGAATAATAACGAATTTTTACAAAGCAAATAGGGAAACACAGATCTTTTCTCTTGGAAACCTGGCATTAATTTGTGCACACAGCAAAGCCACTCTCTCAGTGGAACTTTAGCTACTGTTTTTCACAGTTACCTGCTATTTTTCAGTGAATATTTTATGTATTGAATGTATTTTTCCCCTTCAGACAAAACATATAAATCCATTTCTATCATAAATTAGATAAGGGTTTTTATAAACAAATATATAAAAAATATTCGTTATATAACAAATTGTGGGAACCAGTGTAAAGGTATTATCCTTCTTGCTTATCCAAGAGAGTTAGGACCTTAATTCCAAAGAGGTGAAATTCCTGCTCACTATATAAGTTTACTTTTAACTACAGTGCTATAACAAACAGGAAAAAAGCTGTAATAGAGTTTTAGCCATATTTTCCACCTTGTACTGTTACTGCAACTATCCCTTTAAAAGTCTAATGAGCTTTTTATAGTAAGAAAACCACAACTTATTTAGAATTTTAAAATATTTAATGTGTAATTTAAAATTATTCTAGTGAAAGTGACTCTGTGAATACAGCTCTGTGACGGCAGTCTGGGAAATATGGGATAGTGCCCAATACATCCCATTTATTATTGCCAACTGACCCATGTTCCCATGTTAAACCTCTCATTCTCTACTTGCACCATCTGAACCATTTTTATGGTGACAGCCAATGTTTCAGCCAGCACAGTCTTCTTTTATGACTTTGAGATGACCTATGGAATGTATGGATCTTTAATACAGAAAAATGTTCTGACCAATTTTAAGAAGTGAAATACAGGCAGAATCGTGTCTGCCCATCTCATCCTACCTTTAATAGAATAAACATGACTGAGTGTAATGGCCAAAATCCCTGACAGCCTCAGGTTTGCCAGCACTGGTTTTCCATGTGCTTTCAGCCAGGGATTGGGAAACCTTGGCTGAGTGCAGAGCACTTAACGTGCCTCAGATAGTGCCTCAAGATTTCCTGTGCACACGTGAGCAGACAAACCAGGGCTGGGAAAAGCTTGGGTTTTCCACCTTCCTAAAAACACTGGTGGAAGGGGAATTCTGCCTGTTGTACTCAGCGTGTCAAGCCCTTTGCAGAGGTCCCATAAAGGCACCTCATCGCCTTTGCTGTAACACCTCATAGCCCCTTGTTAACTCTTCTCTTTTATGGTCCTGTAGGTAAGAGTTCATCTGACTGAAATATCCCTGAGGCAGCTGACAAGAAACCCTGAACTGCTTGAATACAAAACCAGCTGCCTGCGTTCACTGTGGGGTGACCCTCTGCTCCAGCTCTCTGGAGCAGCGAGGCCGAGCAGCCCCAGGGCAGGCGGGAGACTCGGGAGTGCCGCCAGGCTGATGGAGACCGGTGTTTGTCTGAGGATTATCCTCAGGCCCCTCATCATCACATCTTCGCTTGTTCTGTGTGGATGGGGACTTGATGACAATTCCCTGAAATTTCAATTTAGAAGAAAGAGCTTCATGTTTGACCTTTTCTCTCCAGCGCCGTGTCTGCCTGCCTTGCCCACAGGCTTCAGATGGGTCCTGTTCCCTTCGGTTTAAGGTCCAGATGAGGTAAGCTGGAGTAGCAATGCCTGCTCTTTTTTTCTGGTTTGCTTTTGGCTTAGAGCGTTATCAGGCAGTCCCTGGGTTTAGTTTCTGCATTCGTTTCACTGCTTTCATAAAAGCGGCTCAGCAATTTTGGATGACCGATAAGGAATGAACTTTCTCTCACCCGCAGCTGCTCTGATATGAATTTTTAAAATCCCTCTGTACTGAACAAATGCAGAAGATACTATTGACAATTTTCAAATAACTCAAAGAATTTTCATACATAAATACTCAGAGTTTTATCTGAACATGATCTAAATGCTCTGAAAACTTCCAAAGGCCTCACAAGTATGAAGATACTTTCCTCAAAGTCACAGGAGGATTAAAAGTGAGAGAAAAAAAGACAATACCAAGAAATCAGCTGGGCACTAAGTTCCCCTGCAAGGCTTTAGGAGTGACAGCACTTGAGTCTAAAAACTAGTAACTGAGAAAGGTAACGTAGAGATGGGAATGGAGCAAAGGGCTGCCTTGACAAGAAGCAATCCGGCAACTTTTGACTGTGCTGTGATTTTCTTCCCCCTCCCAAAAAAGAAGAAATAAAAAAAAAAGCCAAGTTATTTCAGTGTAAGCATGCTAAATAACTGGCATCTGTCCTGAAATCTTGTAAAACAAATTGTAGCTCTGTGCAATTAAGTCGTCTGGGTAATAGTATCCTCCAAGATTAGACATCTCTAATGGGAGTGTTGACAAGCCCTTCAGTGTAGCAATGCAGTGGTGCCCCCTCAGAGAAAGAAGCAAAGCTCCTGGGAAATAATTAAAGAACATTTTGGTCAGCCTCTGATGCAAATACAAATTTTTCAGGTTATGCAGAAATAAACTGGAAACCCACAGAACATCACTAAAAGAGACTAAGGAAACTGAGTGATGCTTGTCCAAATGGGCCTGAAAGGAAACAAAAAGGCTGGGAAGACAGAGGATAAGAAGGTTTTGGAGTAGCTGTGGTTCAGGAAAATCTGTCCTCCCTGTCCTTCTAATTTTTTATTGTAGTCTGATGGTGGAGACAAAAGTAACCCATCTTTTCATTAATCCTAAACCCTTCTCCTTCATCTGGAAAACTGACATCAATTAAGACTTTGGATTCACATTGTACTAATTTGGAATCTTGCTAGGGAATAGTACTTGCATATCCAAATCTGTTGTTTTCACCAGTCTATGCCTCTATTCTGTGTCAAGCAAAGCTTTTCTTGTTACCTTTTAACGGTGCTACAAATAGCAGGGTCTGCTCCTTACACAGACCATACTTGGCCAGCTCAATACTTCCAGCTGTTCTTCAGCTCTGTTACTTTTTCCTTCAAGAAGCAAATTTAGTGCAAAAAACATGAAGGAAAAACAAATATTTTAAAATTGATTTCTTAATTGTTGATGGCTATCTAACAAAGCCAACTTTTGGTTATTTTGGCAGCGCAGTAAATTTAGGAGGTACCTGATCTTCAGTGGGGCATTTCTGGATAAGAAAACAGTCAAACTTAAATCAAGACTTGAAAAATTAAGTCATAAACTACAGAGAGGAGCCAAGTCACGAAGTCTCTTCTTTCTCTCCTTTCCCTGTCTTCTTCATACAGCCATGATTCACTGAGGGAGTGTTTTGAACATTTCCACAACTGCAAGTGTTTGGGCAGAAGGAATGGGTGAAGGAAATGTATTTTAACAATTAGCCAATACATGGTGGTCTCTCCTGAAAAATTAAAAAGCAAGAAGTAGATACATCCAAGGCATGAAAAGGAGATAGGATGTTTAGATCACTTTTATCATTTTTTTGTACACGCTGATGTTTAAAACAGTATTGATTAATGATACAGTGTTTTTTCTAATGTACCCTAGAATCCCTAATTAGTGCTTGAGCCACCTGAAGGGATTATTTAATTTTTAAATAATTTCTACAGCGAAATGAGGAGATCCCACGTCGGCTGCATGAGTGTTCTTGCCATTGCCCGTGGCTGGAGTTGCCTGATGCCTTGAGTTTTCTGTGTCATGGACCATCATGAGAGAAAATCATGTGCTGAGGGAGAAACCCAGCAATGAAGGAGTAAATAGCTGCTCTGAAGATCAGCTTATTAAGAGGCAGACATCTGAATGAAGTGAGGTTCCTGGGGAGTCTGTGGCACCAGACATGCCAAAAAGGGAGGCATGAAACCCTGTTATGTGCCATGACCAAGCAAAAGGCGTTTTTACCTAGGCAGGATTGGTGGTTAATATTCTGCTCCTGTGCTGTGCTCACTGAAGCCCCGGAGTGCTTTTGTTCATGATCTGGGTCTTGTGCAGCACATTTACATGTGACCAACTGTTGGAGTGACTCAGTCACCTCGGTACAGAACAGGGCTCAGCTGAAATGCCAAAGGCATGAGCTTCGTTTGGGACATGAGGAAAACCAAACAAAAATATCACAACTTTTTTTTTTTTTCTTTTTCTTTTTTTCTTTGATATAAGCCTGAACAAACAGCTTCCTTATTCAACAGGATGGTGTGTCGTATGGTTACATTACATCTGGTCAAAAGCCTAAAGATGATTTAGCTTTTAACTAACTTTTTTTACTTTTAATTGAGTTTGTTAGGCGTAAATAGCTGAATGATACAGCATTTGTTTAACTCAGTATATTCACAGCTTAATTAAATAATTCACATGCCAGTCTCTAATCGTGGCGTGAAAAGACCAAAAACCAAATTAAATAATCATAGCTCCCTGAGCCAATTGCTTGGAAAAGAGAAGCAGGGTCTGTTGAGACATATGGCAAACAATCTTTGCTGCAAACCAGCAAGCTAAAACACACCACTACTACCATGTGGTAAGAGTATATATCCTTTTGCACAATATATTTTCCAAACACACTCTCGCCAGGAGCAACAGGTGTGTAACTGAACTTAGGTTTGAACAGATAATTTGAGTACTATGAATTGGAAGGAAAGGGAGGGAGCTGGAAAAGGGGATGAAATATTGTGAATTAAAATTGCAATTTCCCTTACAGCTTTTTTAATTGTTAACTTATAAGTTGGGAATTTGTGAAATGTGACAAATAAGGAAGTAATTGAGAATGCCTGCTGCACTGAGATCTGTCTCTGCCAACATATGCGTAAGTAGAAATTGGTGTTGGAATTAACTTCAGTGGAATTAAGCACCCACACCAATCTGAGTGAGGAATGAAGCCATAGATATAATTGCTATGAATTTGCCAAGGTTTGTTGTTTGTTTTGGTTTGGTTTTTTATATTATGGCTTTATTACCTAATCACCCTGTTGTGTTGCATGCATACTGTATGCAAAAAAATACAGATTCTGTGCCCAGCACTAAAATGCAAAGAGTCACCTTCTATTGCTGTGTTTAGCAGATGTTACCCAAACGGGAATAATGGCAGTAACCTCAAATAACAACAGTTTTCTGTTGCCCAGGTTCTCTGCTGTGGTGCTGTGGTAATCCTGGTGTGGCACAGGCAGGACGAAGGAGGTGTGCAGGGGAATATCCACTGGAGCCAGGACGGCAGGGCCTTGGTAAGTGAGCTGTTTGTTTCATATTCTTCTATTGTGTATTGGAAAGAGTCAGACCCAAACAGAACTGCCAGGACAGAATATTCCTCTGAGAGGATGAACATGGGTTATGTGTCTGAGCTTTGCCAAAACGCTATGGAAACCACTGCTTCAGTTTGGGAATAAAGACGTAGGCACAAACACTGCCTTGGGCAGGGTGAAGACCACCCTTGGGCAGAAGTGTTTGGGAGCTGCAGTGGTGAAAGGATGGGGGTGTGCTTTGTTTTGCAGAACATTTGGGTGTGTATAACAGGCCTGTCTAAACAGAATTGGTGTGTCTGATGGCTGATCCAATATTCCAAGGAGGTCCTCTATTCAGAACTTGTTTTCCTTCCACGCTTACCCTACTTTGTGTATTGTGCTAGATTATACTGGTTTCATAAGTGGCAGTCACAGTTACTGTCCATCTGGATATGTTTTGAGGCTCTATAAAGTTTTAACAACTGTGAAGGGGGAAAATACAAAAATATGCAGCCAGTCTGAAGTGGTTATCTCGAGATTTACCCTCCTGTCACCAGGAAGGCACAGAGCACCCTTCGCAGTCCTTGTAAAACTTATTTAGATTTGTACCTTAATAACAGCAAAAAGCATTCTCTTGTGAGTTGAGATTCTCTCTCTCAATCTGTAATCTCTTAATGAATGAAAATAATTATAATATTAAAGTCATACTAACACATCTCTACACATTCAGTCTTGATTCAGGTCATGTATAACTGAACGGATACTTGGTTAACTCTTGTGCTTGTCCTATTGCTTGTTGTTAAATTAGGGGATTTTATACTTTTCAGTATCTTTTAATAAGATTTTGGTTTACTGTAATTTATTCTCATGCCATTCACTATGGAATGCCAGTCAGTTCTCAAAATACTTGTACATGCTTGTCACATTTTTTTTCACATTTAGAAAGCCCTCTTCTCCATGTTAACCCAGACTAAATTACCCTGTCAATCTTTAACTCCTACCTCTGTGCTGATAGATTATGACATACATCTGGCAAGGCAAGATAGTTCTGCAAATAAACTACTCAGGTGCCCATCATGAATCTGTGCAGTAGGGCTTTTGAGGTCAGAAGGTTTAGATTGGTCATCTCTAAGTGTAAAAGTAGGGCAAGTACTTGTGTCGGGTCGAAGGGACACAGGGCTTTGGGACTGCACCTCTCTCAACTCCTGCCTTTGTGTCATCAGATCATTCACGGCTCGTTTTCCTCCCGGGGCCTGGGCTGTTTGTGTGCTGCTCAGCAATCAGCAGCACTGTGGTTTATTCCTGGAAGCAGAGCCTTTCTGCTCAGCAGGTGCTACAAAAGGACTGGCACATGCCAAGTCCTGGTGCCCAGAGTGCCACTGCACTGCCCATTACTGCAGCCCTCAGTCAGCTCCAAACCACCCTGAGGCCCAGCTCTGCTTTCAGTTGTGCTGCTCCTGATGTGCTGATGAACACACAGCAGAGGAGAAGCCAAATTACACAGAACTGTCTTGTTCTGATGTATCGGGCAGTTAGTTGCCAGCAGCCCCCGGAGCACAATAATGCCTGTGCTGAGAACAGTGTCAGGGCTCTTTGCACAGCAGCTGAAGCTGTGCCTGCAATTCAAGTGTGATTTAAGTCTCTCTCGTTCGTGCCCAGCTTTCTGGTACTTCAGTCCTTGGCTATCCTACATAGGCCCATATATTTTTTTTTTTTTTGCCATCTTCTGCTGGGGTAGGGGGGAAAAAAGTTCCTGTGAGACTATCACAAGGCTGAGATGCTGTTAGGACAGGGAAGGATTTTCCTGTAGGGTCTTAGTGCCCATCTGTAATAAATTTTTATGAGGGTTTGGAGGAAACAGAGGCCTGGGCTAACCAGCAGGTTAGTGGTTTGGAAAGCTGCACAGCCCAGTTACTGGCAAATCTTTGTTTTATCCATCCTGACATGTTCTGCCATACCATACAGGTAGGTATGTTTTCTAATGCTGTAATATAAATCATTGTCAGGTCATCAGCATTCCCACAGTTTTCCAAAGTACTTTTGTGTCTGCCAAAGATACCCACAGGACCTCTAGGCCTAGAGGATGCTATATAAGCTCCTTTAATGGAGCATGTAGAGCTGAACTGTGCTCTGCTGCAACATTCCCACTCTGAGGAAGAGGCATAAGGAATGAGGTGGTCCCAAGAGTTATGGCTTAAGAACCATATTAGAGATCTCTAGTCTTAAACCATCATAGCAAAGTAAACTAATATTTTACTTATACAAAAGCTTTTTTTCCTTTCACTATTCACTTAAGAAAATTCCATATGAGGATCTCAGAGTAGAGTAAGACACCATCAGGAGACTGGAACCTGTGCCAGCCTGCAGAGGCCTGTCCTCCAGCTGAGAACAGCTCAAGTGCAATGTGTGCTGACCACATGTCCTCCTGTGCCTTGTTCATTTTTCCTTTGAGTGAGTACCTATTTCCCCTCTTTTTTTCCTAAACTTTCAAAAAAATTTTAAAAAAACAAAATAGAATTCAGTTCATGTATTATTTTGTGAGCATCTTTTTTATCTCTGGGAGTTGGAATTACTGCCTTTGCCATCTAATAACACAACAGAAGTCCTGAAAATAGGAAGTGATGTCTCAGATCCCAGGGCTGCTTTTGCCACCCCACAGTGATGCTGCCCTGCTCTTGTGCTGCCCTGCTTTGCTGAAGGTTGTGAGAGCAAAGCTCCAGCCACGCTAAAGGATTTGAAGCAAAACAGGCCCTTTTATTTTCAGATCATCTCAAGGGCCTTCGAGAGCGGGAGGAAACCAAATGACAGTTAATGGATCGGGGAGGGCCTGACCTGAGGATAAGGTTAAGTGGTGTAATAATCTCCATCCTGAACTTGGGGCTGTGGAGCAGCTTCCCTAATGTGCTTGGTCACAAGGTGAACCACTCTGAGCAAACCTCACAATTTTCTGCCCACACCACTTAGAGCAAAGCTCAGGGTTCTGTTAAACACCTGAATCCTCCCCTAAAACACTTCCTTTACTTTAATTAATGACTACTTTCCTCCACATTACACTCACTGATAAACTTGACATATTTCTGTGCACTGCCCTTTCTTTGGTGCTCTGATTTTTTCACTTCCAAAAGCACAGTGTATCATATTTTCTAGATATAAAACATTTCTTAGTTAAATTATAGGCTTTCTTCTTTGAGAATCAAAGAAGTTAATGCATGAGTTCTCTTTGTTTGGCTTTGTTGTGAGGGAAGGGAATGGTCTGGCTGAAGAACTGTTTCTTTTGAGAGAGTGTTGGATGGCCATATCAGTCAGATTTTTGTTTTTCTTTCTTTGCCTAGAGAAACTCTGCAATTCATTAGCTAGTTTTATCTTTCTTTCAATGTCCTCTTTATCCTTGTTGTTAAGACCAGTGTAGGCAATATTATCCACAAACCTCATTAAGGAAAAATGTTTTAATGTCCTTCTCTCAGAGAAATGACACATACTTCCAGTGCAGAAAAAACAGCTGAGCTAAATTTGGAATTTCTCTAAAACAAGAAAGAGACTATTGGAGTCTCTTCCCAAGAGAAGAACCCACAGGGATTTATTCCCTGGTGTCTTGGGAATTATTTATTTCCAATATACAACATCCCAACTCAACCCAACCATACTCTAGGAATATTGTTGGGCTGAAGAAGCTCTTTAGCTTTCAAGGCTTAACACTGACTTACTCTCCCTGAAGTACAATGGTGTTGCAAAATATCAGGCAATGGAACTGATAACAGGATCAGTCAAAAGAGACACTGAGGTAGGAGACCAGCACTTGGTATGTAGACAAGGAAAGCCTTGCACCTGAGCTAACAAAAGCAGAGGGAACCTGAGGAATAGGCTACACAGCCAGGTAGACGGCCAAAAGAAATGGAAAGGAATGGAAAAACAGAAAGCATAAAAATAATCCTTCAGAGAAAGTCACTAATCTCCTAGTCAGGATGAAAAGGCTGCTAGGAAATGGTTGGCAGCCACAATCAAAAAGTACCGTATTTGTAACAGAGGTACACAGGTATTTTACTCTGACTTGTCCATAATTTGTACAGATAAAAAGTGCAATCAGAAGTTTTTGAGAGATTTACAATGTAGCTCCCCCTTGAAAGTGTTCATATGAGTGAAGGAAAGGCAGGAGGGGATTCAGAAGTGGATGCAAGTTGTTTACAAGGCAGGCATTACAGACAGCATGCTTTTGTTCTGTTTGCAGGGCAAAAAGACATGGGAAGAACCTGCCACCTCTGCCAGCTGTGCCAGAAAACTTCTTTCCTGAAGAAGTCGTGTGTGATTGATCTCTGAAGCAACTGCTGAGTCACAGTCCCACAAAAAACATGGAATTGCTGTCTGCTTGTGTTCTCTGGTAAGTGCAGCCCTTTCTTTTAATTTAGGCTGTAGCTGTCATGGCTCATGCTTTCAGCCCTGGGAATCCTCTGTGGCCCTTTGAATTGGCCAAGAGAAGCACTGTACAAATACACTTTCAGGATCTTGTGCCAAGGGATCTTCTCTTCTAGTCAAGCCTCAAAAGGTCAGGGTATCTTCAGTGTGGTTGATTTCCCTGAACTGAGGAGGAACACAACAGTGCAGAGGGATCACACAGAATGGTTAATAACTGAGGTGCATTAGGCTTTCAGATGGACACAGAGAAGAGATTTTGTGTCCTTGATGTCTGTATTTTATGGTATCATAAGACCTAGTAGGAGCCTCACCACTCTGAACCCCTTGTCAGTGGTCATTCCCATAGGCACATCCAAGCACCTTGATTTAAAGTTCTAAAGCATTATATATCCCTAGCAGGAAAAAAAAAAAGTGAAAGAAATAAATTCAGTATTAAAAAAACAATAAGAAGCATAGCGGAAAGAATAATGAAAGATTGGAAATGATTTATGGGTGTAATGGATCACTCTATATATCTTTACAGAAAGAAAATATCCAAATTACCTCAGCTTTAACAGTCATAGTCCTAGTGACTGCAGAGGAAGAACTTTTAAATGTATGTGTAAGACTGGAAATGGTTATAAAAGATCAGAGGCTTTCAAAATTCACTGTGTACCAGGTCTAGTGAGTGCAGTGCCAAGAGTAATACATGAAATCTGATCCGACAGTTTCATAATTTTCCTTTGTTTGAGGAGATCCCCATGCAATGCAAACGTACAGCATCGTGCCAGGAGTAAGAGACACGGTTAGTGGAAAGGACTCAGAGGTAATGACCACTGGGCAGTTTCTCACTGGCAAAATATAAAAAGAAAATGAAGAATTAAGTCCATTAAGAAATCCCAAGGAACATGGTTTAGATTAAAGGACCCTCCTTTCAGCCAGGAGGCTGGAAGGTTGATGTAGCACTGCTCATGCAGATGTTTGGAAAGTATTTCACAAACTCTTAATTTTGGAGAGTGCTTCTAAAGGCTGTTGCTCTTCCGCTGATCTGTGCCACCTCCAATTTATCTTAAGCATAAAATAGGAAAAAACCCCAGAAACTACAGCTTCTAGTTAAATAGGAGAGGTCTTTTTAAAGAAACACAATAAAACATAAGATGTTATGGTCCAAATCCTATAGATCCAGTATCTATAGTAGGCTGGCAGGTCTCCTTTTACCTATGAGCAATAAAAATGAAGTAAAAGCAAATCTGTCAAAACTCAGCGAGTTTAATTCAATCCCTTGGTTCATATTGGCTACATGTGAACAGTGCATAGAGCAGTAAATTGCTATACTGAAGTCCTGGGAGTTCAGACTTGGTTGTGTGGTTTGTCTTTAAAACTCTGGTTCTGTATTATGCTTCAGGTAGTGATTTTTTACCGGGATTCTGTACCTGGCAACAGTACCTCAGCCCATCTCTGCGTGAATCCAGTCCAGCTCTGAATATCTCGAACACTAAGCACACAAAAAGATTACTTAGGTAAGATCTCAAGTGAGGGAGCTTGTGTCTGGGCCAATGCTCTGAGGTTCTGCTCATTAGTTTTGCAACTTTTTTGTTAAATTCTGACTTCAACTTGAAGAACACTCAAAGCCCCTTGTCAAGTGTAAGGGTGAGAGCTCCTTCTCTCAGACAGAAACAAACGTGCTTCCTGGTGCCAGTTCAGCTCTGACAAAAGGACAACCCAGCTCTGCTGATGTTCTCTATACTACATTTTCCTACAGGACAGGGGAAATGCTGAATGTTGCTGTTCTCCTGCCTGCTCCCCCTTTCTGACTCTCTGCATTTTTGTGCATGTTTTCTGATCATCTCTCCAAGTCTCTCCCTCATTGTCTGGAGAAGGTGGTACCTAATGGCCATTCCCCAAGGAAACAGTTTCTCCTTTCCTAACCACATTTCATTGTCCCAAGTGCAAGATGTGATGAGGGATGGCTCTTGTCCTAATGAAAGAGAGTGAAGGTTCCATTGACTTCACCGGGGTCAAAACTTCACCCTCTGGGACCTATTGGTAGAAATGGGAGGGAATTTCCATTTTCACAGAGAATTTGCAACCCCTTAATTGTGTTGAAACCTCCAATATTTCCTTCGTGGGGCAAAGTTCATATCTTCTTTCAGATGAATGTAGTGGCTGAGCGTCATCTGCTGCTGCAAAACCTTTACAAGTCACTTAAAACTAGAGCAGGCATAAAAGAGAAGCAGGGTGGGAAAGGGTTGTTTGCTATTAAACACCAACACAAACCCAGCTTTTTGTCTGTGCCCTTCCCCCTTTTTGTTCACACACTCCTTCAGACAGCCTTAGAATGCTAATTTTTCTAATCACTTGGAGAATAAAAACTATTATAGAAATCAACTGAGATATTATTTTAAACCCTTAACTTCCAAGACAAGGGTGTGGAAAGTACCAATACAACCTGACACATTAAAATTCAAAGCAAGTATTTGAAACCAGTTTCAAAAGGGGTTGTTTAACACATACTGGCAGGTGGGATTTATGAAGAAATGGTTTTAAATAAAAGTCTAATTGTTCTCTTTTCACAGATGTTTAGGATTTCTCTTCACAAAGCAGATGATACAGATGCTCAGGAAGATTCAGTGAAATGGTAGTGTAATGATAAAGATTTGATTGTGCTAGTCCACCAGTTTGTGAACTTTAAGGTATTCAATTATTCTGATTTTCTCAGGGTAGAATCTGTATGCATGTAACCCATGGTTAGCACTAATAACAATATGAAACCCTTCCCACATCAAAGCTGTGACTACATGCTTTTGTCTGTCCCAATGGTTTGAGAGAAAAATCTTGATAAATCAACATGAGTTTTTTTCTTTTTCCTTTTTTTTCTTTTCCTCTTTCTTAAGTTTTGTTGTCTTGATTAGATAAAAAATAATAGGGGGCTGTCAGTCTGTTTTCTTTTCAGGTCTTCTCTGCCTCTTTCTAAATTAGTTACAGCCTGCTTTTTGTAGCTTTATAGCTAGCCTGACCTAATTTAATTACCATGACTTGTGTGGCTTAAAGATAAATAGTTTTATTCAGTCTGCCTACTTTTGTATAAGTTTTCCCTTTCACACATCTCTCTATATTTTGGCATTCAGAATTCTTGTCCTCTGTTCTCGGGTAGGTTAACACAAGGTTAGTTTATAGTATTGTCCATATTTTCACACAAAGGCCTTTGATGCAGTCAGTCCCTGTCTGTGCTGGGAGGCTTTGTGGGACACAAATGAACATGAGCTGGGGAGGCACAGGATGGAAAATACACCCTTATGCCATCAGGAGGTGGAAATCCTCAAAGCTTGCTCCTATACCAACACTGTCTGAGGGTGTTTTTTTTCTTATTTTAGGAAAATACTTCAGAAATCACGGCTTGGGATTTCTTCCCTACAGATTATTTTAAACTGTGCCATAAGCAGACAGAAGATCTCCAGCAACATAACTTTGTGTAAAGCCCTTGTCTTCTGGGATAGCTTGAAGGCATTTTCTTACTATAGAGATGTGTCCCCAATGTACAGATCCATGGGGTTCATGCCAAGAACATGGAAAAATCCTTCTACTACTGCCCTGCTGGCCACCTCAGAGTACAGAAAGCAAGCAACCAGCTTATACAACTGCAAAATCTACCTAAAAGAAGGGATTATCATGTTCCTTCCTCTCTGGGGAAAGGGAGAAAGACTGACCAGGAAAATGTGACTGATAGTAAATGTTTTGGTGTTTTTTTTTAAATAATTAAATATCTTACATTCCCATAATCACTGCATTGTTTTATGATCTCAGAGGTAACATTCAGAAATCATGACTGATAGGAAATGGTAAAAAATTATCAAATCTGTTACATTCCCAGAATCACTGCACTTTTTTATAATCTCACAGATTGATAACATTCCGAAATCATGACTGATAGAAAAAATGTTTTTTTTAGAAATGATTAAATCTGTTACATTCCCAGAATTTTTTAATCTCACAGAAACATTCAGAAATCATGACTGATAGTAAATGTGTTTTTTTAGAAATGATTAAATCTGTTACATTCCCAGAATTTTTTAATCTCACAGAAACATTCAGAAATCATGACTGATAGTAAGTGATAAAAGACGATTAAATCTGTTACATTCCCTGAATCACTGCATTTTTTTATAATCTCACAGATAATGTTCAGAAATCATGACTGATAATAAATGGGGTTTTTAAAAAAAAAAAAGTTTAAATCTGTTACATTCCTGTAACCATTGCATTTTTTTTTATGCTCTCACAGGTAACATTCAGAATTCATGACTGATAGTAAATGATAAAAGATGATTAAATCTGTTCCATTCCCATAATCACTACATTTTTTCATCATTTCTCAGGTAACATTCAGAAATCACGGCTGATAGTAAATGTATTTTTTTTTTAAATGATCTGTTACATTCCCATAATCACTGCATTTTTTTATGATCTCACAGATACCATTCAGAAATCATCACTGATAGTAAATAATAAAAAACTATTAAATCTGTTACATTCCCCTAATCACTGCTTTTATTTTCTGTAATCTCACAGATACCACTCAGAAATCATGGCTGATAGTAAATGGTTTCTTGAAGAAAAGATGAAGTCTTTTACATTTCTGTAATCCCTGTGTTTTTTTAAGACTACCTCCATATATGTTTAATCTATGAACACTAAACACATCTTGCAGTAGTTTAAAAACAATTCTGTTGAGACTTGCAGTTTTTAATATAACTGTAGATACCTAATCTAGTGTCGTTTCTGTGTCACATTGATGGTGCTAGAAGAGCCTCTGGCACTTTTCTGAAAAGGCACCTATTTGGTGCCTTGTTTAAAATGAGTATATTTGAGGTCATTAGGAAAGGAAATTTCCAGCACTAATTCTGCCCTACCACAGGTTTTAGCAGAAAGAACAAACCAAAGAACAAAAGGAAACCCAACAACTGTGTTTGATGAATCCATGTGCAATATTTTTGTTACAATGAAATAAAACACCAGACACCTTGAAGTTGCTCTCCTGTGTTTAATTCTTCTGAGCTACTTTTTAAATTGATCTCCCAGTACTTGGTCTCTTCCCACCCTTGTTATTAAACTAACAAAAGCAGTTTATACCACCACACTATAAGCAAAGTAATAAAATAAAAACTTTCAAGCATTTGCTTCAGCCTGTTGGACACATTTACCTAAAATCACATTCATGTTCTATTAAATAAAATTCCATACATACCATTTTATTTCAATATATAAAAGCAAATGTAATATTCAAATGCCTTGTTTCAGCATTGTTGGTCTATTTATCTGATGGCAATATTCCTACACAGCTTACATGACCCTAACCTGAATAATGGTAAAGCTCCCAGGAAGTTGATTTGCTTCAGAACAGATGATAACATTCCTGTAGGTGCAGGAAAAAAAAATCACATCCAAACCCTTCATATAAACTTTTCAAGAAATACTGCAACCCTCAGCAAAAATCAAGTAAGTTAACACATTTTGATAAAATTTAAAACTTCAGGGCTTGAGGGCATATTTCTCATACAAAGAGGGTCACCTGCAAAGGAAGAATTCCACAAAATCCAGTTGGAGATTTCTGACTGGTTCATCCAGTCTTTCCAGTTGTCCTTTTCATATTTAATGGTATTTATTTATTTGGACCTTTTCCTTAACTGAACTGTATATAAACTCATGAATACAAAGAGAGCAGTGTTTGACAGTTAAGGCAGGTGCTATCCTTGCCTTTAGACCTACCTCTTCCCTGTGTGCCATTGCCCCTGGAGAAGGAAAAGATGAACCAGAAGGGACAGAGAAGCAGTTCCTGAATGGCTCAGGCTCAGTTTACTCTGGTAACATATATCTACAGCCTGATAATTTACAAAAATGAACACTCTGTATGCACTAGCAGTGGATAAGAACAGCAGAAGCAGGTACACATAGGATAGCAAATATGTGTGGGACACAGAAATCTGTGCTGAAGGACTGAAATGAGAGTTACCTGGGCTCCTCCAGAGGTTCTGCTGACAAAGTGTTCCTGGCAACAGTGATCGATCACTTCTGCTCTCCTTTCTAGGAAGGTGAAAAATCTGTTTCTTTTATGTGTCCAGAGTGTTTTGATTTTAAATGTTTCACAAAAGGTTACATCTTCCAGTCTGAGAGCACAATGGTCCTTGATCTCATTTGGTGTCTGTAGATGATTTCATTTCACCTAAAAGCAATATAAGAGCCACCACAGATGAATTTTAGAAAAGGTCATTCCTTATTTACATATCTATCTTTGTTATATCCTGTACAAAAATTATATCAGAATGAGATATGCCAGGAGGGAAAAAAAAAAGTACAGATAATTCCCTGATCTGAATGTGGATCAAACACTGGCTGCATTTGGCAGAAGTGCACATCTGATTGTTACTGCAGCCAGATTCCAGGAAATAAAGGGCAGAATGTGGCACAGATTCCACTGCTCTGATCATGCACAGAAACCAGCTGATATTTTGAGGTTCTGAGGTTACAACATGTGGCTCTTCTAAAGCACAGCCTGCAACCTTGAGGGGTTTGTTTTGTTTTCCAACTGGAATCTGACATGCATGGCATGTGAACATTTGGAAGTCATATTGATCACCATGCATTACATATAATTGCTTTAACTTTTATAGCATGCAGTCATTAAACTGACTTCCATAATAATAGAGCACTTAACAGAACCCTTGGCCACATGTGACCCAATAAAGAGGAATAAGAGTGGTGTCTAACTCTACAAAGAGTGTTTACTGGAGTGTGGATGGATACACACCCCTTCTAAATCAGTGGTGATGCTGCCAAAGGAAGGGCTGGAGAGGAAGCAGGTCAGCCTGTGATCTGTGAACAGATAGACACACACATAAGGACAAACTATTTCTGGCACACTCAGCATTCTCTGAACAGCAGGGAGATCTGATATGTGAAACAGTAGGCCCCAGCCAATTAGTCTGTGGCAGATAAGAACCTCTCCTTAATTTGTGCTGTTGGGTTTATATGTGGTTCTTCCTCTCTGACTTCACTAAAACCCAGTTTTTATGGCATTCTTTCCAGGTGCAGCAAGGGATTTGGAAGGAATGAAGTATGATCTGGGGGCCTTGCTTCTGTCATAAGGGGAGCAATGCTTTTGTAGTTCTACTGCTCAAAAAAAATCTGTGAACAAGAGAACTAGCTCCTTTTTTATCCACACAAGTGCACCCTTTCAAAGCATCACAGGGAGCTCAACAAGTAACATCCATTAATATCTGACAGCAGCAAGACTCAAGAAATCAAAGACTTGGAAATTTGCCTTGCCAGAGTGGTGCAGAAAAAGTTCCTATAAAAATAGTCAAGAAAAGTTAAAAAAATCCCCTATATCATGAATATCTTGCATTGCTGTTTACATCTGTGCATTGCTACATTCCCAAAGTTAAGAAAAGTAAAGGTCTTCTAAGGCAACATCCCCAAGGCACATAAACAACTGTGGGGTATGTTGTTGAGATGGCAAATTCACTCCACACGTTAGAGAAACTTTTAAAATTTTAAACTGGTACTTGCATTATTCCACTACATCAGCAAAAGCAGTACCTCACACTTTTCTCAGTAAGAATTTAACAGCATGAATCTAAATTTTCATTTGATGGAAAAAAACCCCAAAAAACCTTTACAGTCCTTTTTGCTAGAGAAAGAATTTTTTGAGGCCTCACAGGAGGGATTTTTTCTTTCTCCCTGTTGTTGTTAACTTGATTTATTTTTACATATCCTTAGAAGCTGCAGTCAAACTTCACACAAAAAGTGTTTCCAACAAAAGAGGTTCATGCTCCTGGATAGAAAACAAGTAAAACTCAGATTCAAATTCCTCCTTTACTTCCGTGACCCGGGGCAGCTCCTGCTGCCTTTAAAGTATGCAGTACTTCTCCTGTCCCTGGTGATTGTTATTAATGCAGTTTAGGGAAAGTGGTGATAAAGATCAATTCCTTACCCAGAAAAGAAACATTAACTGCTTCTTTCATGTCTTCCATAGTGAGTGAGCAGCTACAGTTTCAAATGATCCCCAGATGTTTAGGACTTCTGGTGCTCAGAAGCAGGGTAGGTTTTCTCCAGAGCCAGGGTGGGTATTTCTGGTTATCCTGCACACTCCAACCCCTTGTCCTCAGAAGAGAATGTAAAGGTCAAAGAAAAAGCCTGTGTGGTGTAGAAGTCCCCAAGGAAAAATAAACCAAGGATGGTCTCTTAGCATTGGCCAACTTAAGCTATACCTCTGCATAGTGAACAAAATATTGAAGGGATTCCTACAGAGATGGGTATATGAACACTACAAGCTTTTCACTTAGTTACAGGAAGATTTAATGATTTGAGTAAAAGAGTAACTGCTGAGGTGTCTCATAAAAACTATTCTATTTTCCTGGTTCTTTACAGCAGTGTTTTTCTTTATTCTTTCTCAGAGCTTGGACACAGTACAGTCCACCTACATTTGTAAACATGATTACTAACAGAAAAATGGAAAAAATATTTCCACCTTAGCTACTACAAGAATAATAAGAACAATTTTCATTCTATTTCTCTTTCCTTTGCATTTTGTTCTAATTATTCCCTGGTGATATGAAGACTTACCTTTACTAATGCTTAGTCCCACTGGAAGCAATTAATGCTGATAAAAACAGGCACTTTCCAAGAGCTTTAAACAGATTATTGTCTGAAGAGCCCAACAATTCTGTTGTTATCATATACAGGTAATAAAGACAGAGGAGGAACATGCCATATAGGACATTAAAATACTTTACCTTCTTGGTCTGCACTGTTCCTTTCCCTCTCATCTTCTGAGGAGCACTGCCCAAAAGATTTAGTGCTTCAGGAACAGCAGCAGCAGAGACAAAATGTCCCAAATCATGGTAGGACTCAAGTCCAATCTCTCACACCTGCTACAGACAAACAAAAGCCCCCAATCCTGATTTCAGAGCAATTATTCTGACTGAGCACTCAGATAACTGAGCTGGGCTCCTCTTTTTAATGAATTTTTAAGATGCCAATCTGACTTCATTAGATCAGACCATTTGGAAATTAAGCACTTACATGTGTGGCTACACTATTTCTTTCATGCCAAACAGGCAGGATTAAAATTGACTTCTCTGGTCACGTGCAACGGTCACAATTAACCAAGTTGTTCAGTCTCTGCAGGATCAGAACCAAAATACTATCTGAATGGTATTTTTAAACAGAGGATGACATTATTTGACCACATTATCTTAGCTGACACTGAGAAGGTGGTAGGATGGCCTTGCACACAGTGTGTTCCCAGTGGGAGCTGGGAGGTTTGAGTTAGACCATGTTAACACAGTTTAGTTCTCCCAGTCAGAAGCCTGGCTCAACATAAAGCTACTCTCTATTTTACTGCAAAAATATGACACAGGCAAACATGCATTTATGAGCAGAACAGCACCTAGTTCAGGTGTGAAACATTTTAATCTGTTAGCATATAAATGTTAGGAATGTTGAGTTAATAATCTGTTAATCCTTGACTACTGTTAGTCACAGGTTTGTTCAAACTGAACTCTAAATTCACTTATTCAGTAACTCCCAACTACATACAATCTTATTTTTATCAAAATCCTGTTACTTACTGATATATTTCACTCAGCTTGTCAAAAACAAGTGGAAATACAAACACCACAGACAGAGGTCTTCCAGTGTAAAGAGGCCAATCTTCCTGCTGAGAAACCTGAAAGAAACAATGAAGTGCATCACTGATTCTCTGTTTATTGGGAAAAGGCACATTTGTAAGTCTTAAGAAGTAAATGCAAATTGGAACCTCTCTTCCATAGCCCTGAAATGGAATTGTGGGAGACACTAGAACTGTGCTGACAATCTGGTATTGCGGTTCGCTGAGAGAAAATGGGAGAACAGTTGGAAAGCAATTTCATTCATAATTTCCACCCTGTTTCTCCCTCTTGCAATTCACTTCATTTCAGGCTTTCTTTCCCCATTCCCAAGTCTTCCACATTTTTGTTTTAGCACTTCAAGAAATCTTTCATCTACAGATTTCCCCTTCTTTCCCCCTTTTTTGGCCTGTTTCATTTCCCCCCCAACTTTACCTCAGGGGAAATCACTGTTCACAATTAGCTAGATGGCTATAGAGGAGACACACAGAAAAAAATACATATAATAATTACAAAAAAAAATTTTTAACTTTAAGGATTGCAGAACTTTCTTCATTTGAAAGTCAATTTCATTGATGGGGATCCTACTTCAAAAAGAAATTGTCTTGTTAATTAATAAAATTTTGCTCAAAAATACCAGTCCCCTAAACTATAAATAAGCATGGGACCACTTGGCTACTTGTCACCAGCTTCCCAAAAAGCATCCTTCTGTTTGCTAAAGTAGTTACTACTCTCAGATATTATTAAACTGCAGAGACTATGGGGCTTTTAAAATATTCTTTCATGTCCAAGATTATTAATGTGTCCTTTTTAGGTGTTATTTTTGTATCGATTAGCTTGTGTTTCCCGCCTGAATTCTCAATGAGGTTGCAGCTGCAGTGTGACCTCAACCTTTTTTTTCCCCCCCTCTCTTTTTTTAATTTTTATTACTTAGCAGAGATTTTAAGATAGGAAATAACAGGAAGCTTATTGGGCTTGAAGACAATCCCTAGTGGTACACACTTTAGTTGGGGTGTAGCTGTTAATATGTCTGGGACCACAAGTGAAAGTCAGCCAGAGAGCCCACTGACTCAAAGCAAAATAATGATGAGGGTAAATGCCCTGGGATCTGTAAAATCACCTGTGATGCTGCAGCTCACCAAACTATACCTAATTTAACAACTTTCTTAAAATGTACAGACTTCTAAACTAGAAATTAGGAAGAGCCGAAACAGAACAATGTGGTGGAGATGGACAAGATGGTTGTGAAATAAAATAAACAGGTTTTAAGAGAAAGCAGAAAGCTCAGTTTGTCCTTATATTATTTGCAAGTGAACACTCTTATAATAAATATTATAAATACATAAATACTATAAATAAATATATATATTAAGAATAAATATTTTAAATAAAGATCTCCACTGACCACATCTAACATGAAATTGGAGAACAGTCAGTTATTTATGATAGAAATGAGTAGATGAAGTGCTTTGCAGAAGCTCACAGAACCCACTGTAACACTTTTGGCTCACTGGACACTCTGAAATAGAACCTGAACACTTCAGAACGAGTTAACCCAGCTCAGGAGTCTTTGAAATCAGCTTTTGTTTGTCACCTCCTCCTTTTCTGCACACTCTATTATTATTCATGATCTGTCAGCAGCCAAGGAATTCCTCTGGGTTTCGGTGATGAAGTGCTTCATTTGGACTAATTGTTTCATTTACTTCCAAAGAACAAAGAAATATGTCAAAGCACATTTACTCTTTTGGGGACACTTTTGGATATGTGTTGCGAGGTTTTAAGGTTTTTGGAGCTGAAAACTGAAGATTTAACTTCCAAAAATTCTTTTAAGTCAAAGCATCACCCACAATAGATATTAAAGACACATGGTGAGGAGAGCATCAAAGTTCTTGCATTTCTGCTGCTACACATTTCACCTGAATGCCACCAATTTTCCCAGAGTATCTTGGCACATCTCAGATATGACACCACGGAATTCAGACTCTTCATCCTCTGCTCCCTAAATAAAAAACTGATTTTGTTTCCAGTCCCAAACCTCTGCCCCATTTCTGCTGTCCTGATGTCCTCCTGTAGCTGTTTATCCTGTGTCTTTCTCTCTTGCTCCACTCCCAGCTGACCTGTGTGTCACCCTGGTCAATCATCTCTAACTCATCTGCTGGAAAACATTAAACTGTATGTTCAGCTCATTCATCATGGGTCGTAAAAATGTGCTTCAGGTTTGTCCAAAAATATATTTGAAAATCATTATTTTACTGTGTATTTTTTCCTTGGGCTGTTCCTGGACTAGTATCCATTTACACTGCTCTCCAGTCTCCCATCCCAGTGCCTGGGTGCCTAACAAATTAAAACTTTAGTACCAACAGAATGTAATGGACCTTTTTATTACGAGTTTTTATGGCATTATTTCCTTACTGTATCAGTACTCCAGAAGAATATGAGACTGCCTTTCACAAACCTGCCTGGCTGTATAAAGACCTGAGCACCAGCTCGTACTGTAAGGAGCAAAGAGGCTTTTGACACTGTAAGATAAATGGGATGGAGCTGTCCAGGCTCTCCCCAGGAACCACAGGGAGATCTTAGATAATTTGCCACCAGCAGGTGAGGTGAGTCCCACACAAGAGCAGCCCTTCCTCACTTCTCAGGTGATCAGCTGACACTTGAATACAAACTCCCAGTCTACTCCAAATGTAGAGGTGGGCAGAAAGCTAATAGTTATATTTAAATGTTAGTCTGATTTCAAGTTTCCAGTTAAATAATGAATTAAAATTTGATCTGATTTGCTAATGTATAATTTTCTTTAAGACCTGTTCCTGTTTCAAAAGGGATGTATGTATTAATTCTCAACTCTAATATCACATCCTTCCACCTGTCCACCTTTCTACTATTCCATGTTCCCATAGGCAAGGAAATACTCAGCTTTTTGCTTCTCTGTCTTTATGATTTCCCCCAGTTTCCTATCCTCAGGTTTACTCAAGGCAGCTCCCTCAGATCAGCCACCTTTTTCTCACAGAAAACCAAGAAAGAGCCTGAGGCTTTCCTAGTAAAACATACATATCCCCACCTCAAAACCTTGCTGAGCACAGGTTTTTTTTGTTTTATTCTTCATTCATGTTACTCTAAGAGTTTCAAGGAAGTAGTTTTTGGTGCAATTTTTGAGCAATTTTTGCTCCAAGTCAACAGGTTTTATTTCTTTACCAATTCCAGACTGTTCCCACCTCTTTAGTTTCTGTCTTTCTAGGCAAAGTAGTTTGTCAGTGCTTTTGTTTTTCTTCTTTTTTTGTCTTTTGTACAGCCTAACTCTTCACACTGTAGCTTCCTTCACACGGTATTTGCAATGCTTTGATCATTCCCTCCCCTCATTATTTTGTTCCTCCACTGGGAAGGATACGTTAACACCAGAAACTTTCCACTCTAGGTAAGAGGGCAGCCTTCTCCTTGGAGACACTGTCTGTCCTGTTCAGTTTTACATTTTGCCTTGTTATTGATATTGACAGTGAACACTTGGCTACTTATGGAAATTGGGGACGTAATTCTCACCATAAAACATTTGCTGCAGCAAACTCAGCCCAGCAAACAAATTGAAGTATACAAGGGGAACAATATAAAAGCTATCAGCGGGGCACAGGCTTATTTTATGCAGATGTACAGTTTGCATATTATGGGACTCAACAGCACTCAAGTTTCCAATAAGTCCTTTTTTTTGCTTGACCAATTTTGTTCATTACTTATAGCTCCCTGCAGAATTCAGAGCTGTTATTACGAACATATACATTACAGAAGGAACACAGCCTGACATGCATAGCTGCTTAATAAGGTTTTCATCAGCTGCTTTTACTGACATTTTTCATTTCTCTCATGCCCTGCTTTTAATGTCCCAGTCTTCATTTGATACCATAAAACAAAAGGAGTGGAGTACTGCCACAGAAAATGTTCGTGGCTGAATCTAAAAAGAATCACACACTGCACTTGAAGCATGAAGGCTCCATAGGCTTCCTGTTTGCATATGCAATCTACACCGGCAAAGTTATCCTCTTTTCCCGTGTCAGATTAACCCCATTAAAAAAAAAGCATTCTCAGAGCTTTGATTCATAATTGAAAATAATCCATAATGAGTTTTGAGTGCAACTTTCAAAAGCAAGCCTGCATATTCGTGCAAAGAATTCTGTGCTATTTCCCAAGGACTGCACTTGTGAAACTGCACTGATCCCTGGCTGATGTTCAGAACCCGCCCATCTCAAAGGACACCAGTCAAAGGAAAGTGTCCTTTTATCACTGAGGAGTCATTGTGAAGTCCTGAATTTTGATTATTTGAGGTAACAGAGTTGGCAAAAAAAACCAGAAACAAACAGTTCTCTGTCCTATGAAGATGTCAATAAAGTGAGTGTCTGAGGGTTGTCAGTTCAGGTCCATTAAGACCTGAGGTAAGTTCAGTCTGGCTCGAGGACACAGCTCTGACTCACACCAAAAAGCAAATTTAGGTGGCACTACACTTTACTGAAGAGTGGTCTGTACCCAAAATCAAACTGTTTATCACGATCCAAATATTTACAGAACAGTAAAAACCTGCTAATTTTTTCAACTGCTGTCAGCAGTAGTGGTGTCTGTATACCCCTGTCAGCCACCCTTTCCCAGCAGAAAAGAGGCTGACAAAGGTCTAGTACATATTTTTCTGTATGTTTTCTACTTTGCTGTGGGGTGTAACTCTTCAACATGAGATGCCTCATGACATGAAGAGGAGAAAGACAATGAAGCCTCACACTCTGTGGTCAAAGGAGGTGACCAGAAAGCTTTCCAATTGATGCAAACCTGCTGCAAGTCCACTTCCATTCACCCCAGGGATTTCCATCAATGCCCTTTCTCACTGAGCCTCTCCTCACCTTAGCTCACAGCTTGGCTTTCTCCCACTCACCCTCTAGCTCCAGCAGTTGGGATAAAGGAGGGATTCAGATTCCCAACCCCTTTACTTGCATTTGGAATAGGTTACGGCATTCTGGGCAAACCTGGTTTATTTTCTTGATCCCCATAAATGTAATACCAGCTGGCACCAGGAAACCTGAGCTGCCTTTGCTCAGATCTGATACCCAGCACTGCTCCCAGCACTGCCAGAGGAGGGGTGTGTTCAAGTGCCCTGGACAGCTTTGCAGATGTCAGTGCCAGCACACCTCAAAACCATCTAAAAAGTTGACTGTTGATACAATAACTCTCAAGATGTGTCCAACAACAGCACAAAGAAAAGCTGTGAAGGGCAAGGGGGAAGATGGAAGAAAAAAACCAAGAGGCTACAAAGTTTGGAGTTGGTGCTCATTATTATAAATAGTGCCTAGTGCAAAATCAGAAATAACTGTGGCTAGTAAATTATCCATCTTGCAACAATCTAACTAGATTGTCAGGAACAGAGAGAATTAAAAAAGGCCCAAATTTCTACTCTGCTGTTCATTTACTCAGGCAAGAAGCAATTCTGAACCTCAGTTAGATCCAAGACTTTATCTGCCTATAATGGAGTTCTTCAGGTCCAAGTCTTATTAAAATTAAATGGGTATTTTGAGTGTGTTTTGAGTCACCTCTGATTGCTTTAAGCTTTGGTGGTATTGTCAGACCAAAAAACCCAGTGAACCCAACCTAAAAATAGTCAAGAAGTATGTATTAATTACTTTTTTAAAACCTGCAATTTACAGTGACATTTAACCCATCTTTCCAGAGCTGCAATTTGACAAGTATGTAATTACATCTGACCAGCGATAATCAGGGAGACAAATAAAATAAGGCACATTTAAGGTGACCTTTCTTAATTGAACTTTGCCTGCAATTAATTATCTATTGTCTGGATGTATATTATTTACAATCAAGAAACAATTTATAATAATCTTCTACGACTACAACATATTTTTCTAAATGAAAAATGATATCACGGGTTGCTTAGTTTCTTCTGTCCCAACTCAGCAGGTGTTTTGAAAAATAATATACAAAATTTCAGCCTGAGGGAAAAGAGGATTCAGTATCAGAGGGTAACAGTCTACTTCATACGAATCTTAAAAAAAAAAGTTAACTGAGTTTGATCTTGTGAATGCACACTCTTATTTTAGCAATTAATGGAGCCATTCTAAGTCTCTCCATTGATTTCAGTGGAAAACTCCAGCCCCGGGAGCTGCTTGGCTAAATGGAATTTGTTAGCTGTGCAGCATTACATATTAATTTACACCACCAGGTCTGACAGTCTACCTGGGAGGTAGAAAGGCTGTAATTTAATATTTTAAGGTATATTATGCTCATTAAATGATATGTGTACGTTAAGTGAAGGTGGAAGTTAACAGAAATCAATTTTTCTATAATAGAATACAGTGTAAACTAATGAGAACTAAAGGAATGTGAGTCACCACAGTGTAACAAAATATCCTCACATCTACACGTGGCCCTTGGGAATTGTCACCTCATGCTCTGTGTGACAGATTCCACCAACAGTGGGCTTTGTTGTCTGAGGTGACTCACCTGGAATCAGTCAATGCTTCTCAGTGAAGCCAAGGAATGTTAATATTCTAAAGAGCTCAGTAATACAGTAAATCCTCACACTGCATTTACAGTATTGGCATAATATTTAATTTTAGTATCTGTAATGGTTTTCCACTTTATGTGTAAGAAAGTGACAGAGAAGTTACAATTGTACCCCAGAACTGTGGATTAAAACCTCTTTTTCCTCCTCTAATCCCAAAGCTAAAACGACTTTGTTTTCTGTATTGATCCACTGATACCTCAAGATAGACAGATATGTATCTTTAAAATATAATGTAAAATATAATTTTAAATTTTATATCTAAATATGCGAATGGGCACATCACGTAACAATTACTCAAATGCCACAGAAGTAAATGGAACAACAAAAGATTCTTATAAACCATATTGCTATTCCATTTGGACCTTAAACACCTGATTTTTTTCATGACATGTTTATTCTGTACATTCCTTAGAATAGCTGATTTCTAATGGCAGCCGAAGGCAGCAAATTCTGTAAAAATTTGCATGCAGTAAATTTACCCAGAAAACACTGGAAAAGTCACCTGGGAGTAAAGCTGCTGAAACCCAAAGGAACATTTTGATTCCAGTTGTTTTGGATCAGCCCACGAGTGCAAACTACCTTTTGCATTTGTAAATAAGCATTTTAGGATATTAAGTCATAAAATACTCCTAACTTTCTTGTTTATTACAGTATCACCTTCCTTAAATTATTCCCTTTCCAAATTATATATATATATACATATATATATATATACACACACACATGCTGCCCTTTTTCCACAAAGTGACTTAATATATTGAGACATCCCAGCTTTCCTGTTATCCTTTGTACTTTCCCCTATTTTGCTCTTGCCTCCACTTCTGTCCATTTTTAAGAGAACAAGTTACCCAACTGCACCTCTTGCTAACACTAGATCTTTGGAAATGCATTTTAATGACTCTGAAATTCCTGACTCCTCCCACCTCTGACTGAGATTCAGAGTTTCCAAAGGCAGATCCATGTTCTCCCACTAGAAACAGAGATTACTCCCTGAATATACTCAGGCTCCGTGCATCCAACACAAACATTTAGCAGTCCCTTGGGAATTGTGCTCTACCTTACAGCTGTGACATGAGTTTTCCTACAATGCCAGTGGGAACTCGCATTTTTAACACCTGTGTGCTCCTGGAGAAGAAAATGTCCAGATATGAGGAATAAGCACTATTAATAGATATTCCCTAACTATAATTTCCATGATACCTGAAGTAATACATCTTAGTGTGGCTTCAAAACCACGTGCCAAGGGAAGCATTTAAATTCCACCTGTACTTGGATGTACAATCCACATGACTGAATGCACAGAACAGGAGAGTACCAGTGAAAAACTACTAAACACCTCACTAACCCCTTCCATGCATAATCATTTCCTTCATAGTAACCATGATGCAAATTTAAACCTGGCAGAGAGCCATTCCAACACAAGCTTCCAAATCCCTGCATGCAGGATCTAAAGATCCTCTTGACCTTCACAAGTGATTTTACCAAGCAGTGAGAATTTTCAGAACTTTTTTTCCTCAAAATAAAACCTGAATAACAGAAATGAGAGTCAGTAAAACACCTCGACTAGTGCCTAAACATTACAGAATTATTACCTTTTTCCCTGGTTGGGTTTTTTTTTGATTTGAAAAGACTTGTGTCAAGTAAAATCCATTCTTTTCAGTCTGGAGTAGAATAAGAAGCTATTACCCCCTAACAACTAGGAAGCCTATCCAATTAAGGAGGCCTCTGTGGGACACGTCAGGGTTTCCGTGCTGGCTGTTGTGGAGGGCAGTGATGCCGATGGAATGTGAGCACAGGTCACATTTGCCTTCCCAAACCTCGTCCCAAATGGAAACAAAAACCAGCTGTGACCAGCAGAACTCTGATTAATTGAGAGTGGCATCCTGAGCCCGGTGCTGGTGACCCAATGACTGGGAATTGCCCGGGGAGGTTTGAAGCCTCGTGTCCTTCCCAGGGCAGCAGCCACAGATCCAACAAAACTGCCTGGTTCGATCCCATTAGCCCACTGCTGTTTACAAATGTTGGGATCACACAGGGCCTGCCCATGGCTTGGCACAGACAGACACCATCAGCCCTGGCACTGGAGGCTGCTGACAGACTGCCAGCCCCTGGTGCAGATGGTGGCAGCACGAGAGCGCTAATTACTGATGACATTAATGATGAGCTAACCTGTCCCTCTTCAGCTAATAAACAGACAGAATGTGTTCCCTATTCATTTTTTTTTTTCCCCAGATAACAAATTGTTCAGCTTTAATGGTAGAGAGCAACAAAACCAAATTATCTGTTCTTTGGAGAAATTTGTTTTCCGCTAATTGTTCTAAACAATCAATAAAAGAATTACAACTGGCATCACCCACTGAGAAGAGAAGCAGGGAAGTCAAAGTCAATTAGCTTCCTGTAGGATGATGCACTCACATGGAAAGAGTCATTACAACAGGGTGTAGAAGTCAAACTGCAAGCTGTGCAGCTCCAAGAACAAAGCAGACTTGGATGGAAAGTCTAACAGAGGGCTTTCACAGACCTGCCAGCTCTCCACATAGCACTGCAGTTCCCAGTTGTCCTTTAGATGCTTCCAAAAACTGATGGCAGAGAGGATCCTCGGATCTCAGGACTGAGAAACATCTCATCTACAGAACAAAAAAGAACAATCAATTCAGTTTTGTGTCATTTGTGTTATTTGTATTGTAGTGCAAATATGATAAATATGGAAAAGCTGAGGACTCCATGGTGGCTACTGAAATATTATCCAAGTGGGCAAAAGAGCTGCCATAGTTGACTTCCCAGCTTTTTCTTCACTATTCTCAATGAATTTCCACCACCATGGGTTTCTGATACAACAATATACACAAATACATACATATATATATACACACACATGTAAATACAAACTGACTATTCAGGTTGAATAGTTTAACTAACAGCAATTGGATCAAATCAGCAGCCATTTAAGAAGGACAGGTCACCTCACCTAGAGGTATTTGAGACATGTAGAAGTGGCACGGAGGGATATAGTTTAGTGGTAGATTTGGCAGTGTTTGGTTTACAGGTGGCCTCAGTGATGTTAAACAGGGTCTCTTCCAACTTAAATAATTCTATAATTCTATGAGCATCCACATCAGAAAAAAAAATGAAGCACATAAAATAGACCTATCCTGTTGGAATAACTTCTCACTGCTCTTTTATCTCATTTTCCTCAAGTCCATGAAGCTTTAGATTTACTTTAATTGTTTTAAACATTATTCATGGACTGTTACTTCTAGTGCATTCAGTTAAGAAATTACCATTCTAACACACTTTGTGTTGATCATAGCTCACCCTGTGCATTGGGAGAGTCAAGTCCCCATTATTTCACATCAATTCCTTGCACCCCACAGTGAAAAAAGCTTAGTATCACATATTTTGCCCTTGAAAACTGAAATCATAGAGGTCTACCTGAACCCCTGACTGATTTAACTTCTCTCCTGGGCTGAGTTCCTGACTCTTCTAAGTAAGGACTGGCACTGGCACGGGCTCCTTGAGTGACAGTGCTTCCCTCCCCCAGGCCTTTCCATCAGGACACTTTCCTGGGCAGGTTTATTTTTCTACAGCAGTGTCTCTAATTTTATACAGGGTAAAAACTGTTGGCCACCCAAGGTCTTAACACACTGAGCAATGTTTGCAGTGGTGATGCAATGCAGTATTTGAAAACACATTATCTCCCACTTTATGCAGTTGCACACAAAGGAGTCCACTGACTGTTTCATGCCTGCACGCTTGCAAAGGCATCCAAAACTTCTTTTACAGGCCACCTACTTTTCCATGAGTTATCAGAAACAACACAGGCAGCCTATTTAGGGGGGAATCACAATGACTGGCTGTTCTGGGCTGGGAAAGGTTTCCATCCATCCTCACAGCTCTCTTTATGCAGAGCTTGTAAATAACAACAGGCACAAGCCCTACAGCCACTAATTTAGCACCACATTGTGACTCCCTCTGTTTCTTTCCATTTGCCTCAAGCAAAGTCAAGTTCTAGTGACCTTTTTTGGCCAATACATACGAAACTGGCTGCTGTGACCTCGGTGCTGTTTTGTACAAAGCGTTAAGTAAGTACCTTGCACAAAGCAAATAGTACAGTCTGACCATGAAATTCCTGTGACTTGGGCTTATGTTGGTTTGTCTGCACACTGACGAATAATTGAGTTTTGTTGAAAGGGGAAACAAACATTTTGTTTCGTTTTGTTGCAAAACATTGCTAATCCAGAGGCTGTTCTGCTGCAAAGCAGCAAAAGGAAAAGGAATGAAAAAATTATCGTATTTAACAGTTCTCAGTTTTTCCTCCTTCACCAAGATTCTGGTGAAATGAAGGCAACATCCCTTCTTGGCCATATGGATAACAACAGTCAGTTCAGCCACCTGCATAACATGCTCAATTTTCCTCTGCAAAAGAGGGCATGTTGTGTTTAGAGTAGAAACTTGATACAGGAGGAAACATCTCTCTCATAAAGACTCTTGTTTACAAAGCCACTGACAAAATTTTCAAGATTGCTCTGGATGCCTTGCTTACTTTTTCAGCAGAGATGTTTTCTTCCTGTGCTAACACAAGACAGATTTCCACTGAATGCCAGCTGAGTGCTAACATTTGTTCTTTACAACATATTCCTCTAGAGATGAGACCAAATTATGCATTCCTGCTCATTTTGGCAGCTCCTGTATAAGTAACAGTTGCACTCTGCCATTCTGAATCACAAGTTTTGCTTATAACCTGTAGCACATATTTAATTTCCTTAATGCTGGAATCCTCATATTCAATCTACACATACCCAGGGTGGGTATCTCGCAAAACCTAAGTCAGCCCTCACCGTGCAAGTTTAGCTCTTCTCTCACACGCAAGAAGTGTTTACACAAATGAAAGGCAATCTTTTATCATACCTTTTGGGGTCACCTGAAATGCAAACTGCAAAATCAAATTCCTGCTCACAGCAAACCAGTTAATTCCTCTTCCTGCACTCTGCTGCACTTCCCCATGCACACAATGTGGTAATTGCTTTTGCTTGACTTGTTCCAACAGCCATTTTCCTGATGTGACAGCCAGGGCACTAATATATTTATGTCCTTTGTAATCGGCCAGCGCTGCTTGTAATTAGGTGCAAAGTTAATTAAGTGCAATACATCTAATAACTGCCTGCCAGGAACTGTAAAGTTTGATTTAGCACATGAACTGTCAAGGTGTCAGAATGGTGTGTTAAAAAATAAGTTGCTAACAGAGAAACAATCCTGCCACAAGCCAGGGAAAAGCACTGTGACAGGGAGTGAGCTGAGGAAAGGGAAAATTGAGCCAATACTTGCTATTTCCAGCACTGGGAATGACCCACCTGTATGTTGGGAAGTTGTATCTTGCTTAATTGAACAACAAATTAAGGTATTCTTTTATTTATTAGCCAATGTCTTCTCCTACAGACAACCCTTCTCTTCAAAAGGCATACAGATGGGATAGAGTCTTTTTAAGCCTGTAAATGTCAGCAAGAGAACAGATTTGATTTTTAAAAAAATTAATGCATAAACAGGATTACAAAAAGAACCAAGAGGGCCTGGAGAGTCACATTTCATGTTCAGGGACCTGATTTTGTTTGTTTCTTTTATTGCACAAATTACAGTTTCTCTTCTACCGAACCTAAGAGAATATTCCTTATTCTTCTTCCTTAAATTCAACTTTGATTGGCTCAAATGTTCCCTTCACCTCCATCCCTGTGTGGTATGAACTGCAAAATGATCTTGTCCTCATGCTAGGCAGTCAGGGCAGGTGAAGAAAAAAAGCACAGCTGGTCAGCAGGGGAAAAAAAACCAACCAAACAACAACCAAATGACCCGAATTCTACACCCAGAATAATGCAGGACTAGTTGAACATCAGATTCAGAGTTCTAGGGAGCACAACTGATGAGCTGCACATGTACCACAGCAGCACGAGACATGTGCACAGCTCAATAACACTTTGATTATTAACACACACACAGATGTATGAAGCTCAGAAAATTACACCTGTAAGACATCAAGAGGGAAAGCACGGGCAAGGCTCTGAAGCTTTTTTAGGCCAGCAGATGCAAATAAAGTGCTGGAATTTGTCCTCATACAGGATAGCTCACAGACCTTCAGAAATAACCTACGTTCAGGGGCAACACTGCTGCCTCCAAGGAGTCACCAGCAAAGCTTTCCTCTCAAAATACGTCCCAAAAATCCCTGTCAGATAAGCCAATCCTCGTGGTTCATCATTAGGAACTGATATTTGATCAGGGAAACTATGCTCTAGACTGACATGAAATTAATAATGCTTGTTGTGTGCTGTCCAATGACAAAGGTAAATGCTAATAGCTCTGAAATCCTAATGAATGCCAAAGTGCTCTTCCCAGCTTTGATTAGTGCTTGTGTTGTGCAATTACGCTTTTCTATAATTACTGTGAATTACCATCATGATATTATTATTCTCATATTTTCTATTCCTCTGAAATTCTCAAAATTTCCTGCAGCTAAAAATGGATTTCATTTGCATTACCACAAGCTTTGATTGTTTAATGAAAAATAATTCCATGCAGACTCTCGTGTTAAATTGTCCATTTAAAATTTTCCTGTTATCTAGATTATGTTGAAGTGTCCCTTCTTTCATTTATCATTTGCCTCTATTATCACAGTCACTGCCCTCCCTTGGTGCTGGATTTCAGAGAGAAGGAAAAAATGAAAGACAGTTTTACCCATATCCTCATCTTTTGCCTGGAAGCCCTTTCCCTGCATGTTCTCCCTTTTCCTTGAAATTCCTTATTTGGAAAGCTTAAAAGTGACAGGACTTTTCAGGGAAATGTGGTAGCTACTTCAAAATTTAGTGGGAGTCAATTAACTTTTTCTTGGTTCACACTGAAAGTTTTCATTTCTTTTGCAACAAAAATGAAAAAAAACCTTGTGACATTTGCACAGTTTTGACCGTCCTAAGGTCTGATTTTTATGTTTTTCAGTCTAGGTCAAGTTCACCATCACTTTGCTGCCTCTAAATTAAAAGCATCCATTGCAGTATTTCTACTAAAAGAGTAATTCAGTTATTTTTCAAAATAGATATTTTGAACTATTTTGTGATGTATTCAAAAATACTGGACTAGAAGGCGGTCTAGGTACCCAGATTTATATTATGTATTTCACTGCGTACACAAATAATATTATTTTGTTATTTATGCCTCCCTTATTTCTTTCCAACCTTTTTCAACTGCTTCCATTTTCACCTCATATATGCAGCTGATTTTTCTCTCACATACACACAATTCTCCTTTGCAAAGTGTTAATATAACACGTGTGGTCACAATTTCACACTTGTAATATTCAAATAGCTTCAAAGTTAGTCAGAATAAGTTTGACCATGTCCATATGTACACTTAAGGAGATGAAAGCCTGGATCAGACGAAGGAAAACAACCTTTTTTAAAAAAAATAAATCTTATAAGAGGTTATTTATCCCTTAATGATTTTTTTTTTTCATTTTCCCCATGGATAATAACAAATGGAAATACTTCATCTGTAACTTCATCGTGATGTGGGGAAAATTGAGCCCACATTGAACATCTGTAGATTGTGTCTTTCAAAGCAGATTCCATAACTTAAGCT